AGGAACCAATAATGAACATTGCTTGTCACTAATTAATCAAGAATTGAATTGGAAATTTGGTGTACTTGATTGAAGGGATATTGGATTGATTGTATTGCTTGCATATGAGTCATCACCAAGTCTAAACTTATAAATCACGTAAAGTGCAAGATGGATGAGCAATAAAACTCTAGATTGGTGCACATCTAGAGTGATGACAATCAGGGGTTGGGGTACACGGGGTATTAGCCGTGCACTTTTCTCGAGGCCGTCTGATCTACGAGTCTCTTATTTCAAATACTTTTCAAAACTAGGAGTTAGATGAGATCTCATACTAGCTACGGTCACGAAGTTGCGCCCGTGGTCGTTGGATGTTTTATTGATGTTTTCGAAAGGAGGCATGGGGTTTACTTTTAATTTATAAATTAATGTTCAAAATGGAGCATGGGCTGGACAACCTTGTCTATTGCTTAATCCAATGAATAATAATGATGAGTTAACTACTTTTATCTAGTGAAGTCTTAGTAAATTGATAGTTGAGTCATTGTGTCGAGTCTACAAATTAATGATGTATGATGATTGATTGTTAGTAGCATGCTAGGGTTTTCTTATTATGTTTCGCAGCTTAGCTTGTATGTACTCAGCTTTGTTGATTGTGTGCTTTGTGTGTCTTTCTTTGGTCATGGCCTTCGCCTTTCAATAACCCTGTGACGATCCAATTTTTACACTTGTAATATTGGGGAGCAGATTAACCACAGGTTCTTACACATGCAGCATCCGTATTTAGGTGGTGGGATCTTGAGTGGGGTGTTGGTTACTTTGCATAATTTTAATTTGCTACTTACCTTTGAATTTATTTAAACTCGTTTTCATTTTATACTATTTCTTCTAGTTTGGATTTTGAATAAGGGCTTTAACGGTTCCAAGTTGTAAGACTTAATTTGGTTTTGCTTATCGGTTTTGAGACTTATTTGTAACTGAATTAGTTTTTCCGCTGCTAATTTTTTATATAGCCTTAACGTGTGAACACGTGGCGGTAACACGCCGTTAATTCTCTTGAATATTGTTCAGGGTCCTCACAGATTTAAAGAGAGGATTATTGGGGTGTTACAGGGCTGGTGTTGAGAGCTTGGACCGCGGGATTAAGTTCCTAGGAGCATTCTATTCTCACCCTTATTTCTTAGATGAGAAAGATGCTCCCAACTTTAGGGGTTGTTTACTTTCTTCAATCCCAATTATCTGTTCCTTATTGAAAAGGTTAATTTTTTTTTTAATTTTATAAATGCCACATGTCAAGAGGTGATTAGCCAAAAATATTTTACAAAAACAAAAAATAAATAAATAAAAAAATCTAAAAACCACAGCCTCACCCTTCCCTGACCAACCCAGCCCCACCGCGCACCGGAAATACAGCTACCCCAATCCCCTCTCGCTCCGGAAAACCCACACCCCTCCTCCCATCCCGTCGCCCTTCCCCCTGAACCACCACTCCCAATCCCCGTAACCCCCCTTTCTCCCAAGTCCCATCTCTGATTTATGATTCCCGGTTTCACGCATCGGATTTATGCAGAATTGCCGGATGTATGAGCTAATTAGCAGAATTGATTGCCAGATGTATGAGCGATTTCCGGATTGTATGAGCTGCTTTACATTTGATAGATATTGATTGTACGGCAGCTCTACAACGGAATCAATGATTTTATGGCGTCGACGTCGGCGGATTGCAGGGGAAATTTGGGGGTAGTGGGTCAAGGGGAATTAGCGACCACGCCAAAGGTACGGTAGGCGTGGCAGGTTTGCGAGATAGGGACGAAGGCGGCCGGTGAGATAGAGGTGGTAGACTGGGGAGTAGGATGGAGGTTATGGTGGGTCGGTGGAGGAGGGAAGGCTGGAAGGTGTTTTGTGATTTTTGTTTTGTTTTTTTTTTTTTTTTGACCAATCAGGACTTGACACGTGTTAAGTAACCTAATATAATAGGCCATCAACTTTCATTGATCGGTTTGGGATTGAAAAAAGTAAACAACCCCTAAAGTTGGGATTATTCTGGAATAATCCAAAGTTGGGATTATTAAAAGAAAATGAAGCAGAATTGGGATTATTATTTACAAATTTTCCTTGTAAATTTGAGCCTTTTTACAAGCCTTTTCGAGTTTAACTCAGTAGTTTGAGGTGATCAAAGTTGACTTGGCCCGACCCGGCTTGATTTTGGGCGGGTTTTTGGCAGAAATTTTCGGCCCGAAATCAAGTTGGGTCTGGCCCAAAAAATTAATTTTTTTTTTTGGCACATTTGGGAATGCGTTTTTATGCATATTTAGTTAATTGGTATACAGTAGACCCTAGTGTAGGTACCACACCCTACACCCCCACCCCCCCCCCCCTTAAACTATGCGTTTAACAATCTCCCTCATATACCCACTTTCTGCAATTGTACAGTAAAAATCAAACCACCATTTATCTTTTTTCACTTTCTCTCTCCTCACCCATTTTCTGCATTTTCTCTCTCTACACCCATTTTCAGCATTTTCTAATCCAAAATTTTCAACAAACTTTGCGACAAATTATCCAAAAAAGTTGTTCAACTGCTACATAATTCAACAAATCAAGGTCGAAATTCAAAGGAGTAAGTGATTTTGTTCATATTTAATTCGAAAAAGAGTATATATAAACCCTAATTTTTATAAATTATTGTTGCAATTGTGTTACAGGAACATTTACTATTTTTAGTTTTAAAACTAGTAATTTGAACAAGTACATTTTGAATTTTGAGTATGAAGTATTTCATTTTTTTTTATTGCAGTATGAAGGAAATAGCTTCAGAGAAGAACATCAAAAAAAATCTGGAGAAAAGTAAACATTAATTAAATTAGTTCGTAGTGGTTTTTTTTTTTAAAAAAAAAAAATTTATAAATGTTCATTTTCATTTTGATAAATGTTCATTTATATATTAGTATACAATCATTCACATGTTAATAAATGATTAATACAAATATTTATGTATATATTACTACATAGTCATTGTAAAAATCTCCTATTGTAGATCAAGAACTTTTAAAAGATATTAAAACTTATGGTATAGATGTTAACATTTCTACAATTCCGAGGTAATGTATGAACATATACTGAATTATAAATGTTCATTTGTATATTTGAATCTATTTGAGTTTATATTTTACTTTATATGCCAAAATAAAAAAAAAATGTTCATTTTTATGATACGTTATGCACATTTATGAAATGCATAAATATTCATTCATGTGAGTTGAGAAACTGACTTATGCATACTATGAAATCTTTTGATCATATATGAAATTCATAATGTTCATTTACATATATAGTAATGTAAATCAATGTAAGTATTATACTATAATCTTAGCAATTTTTATTGAAGAACTAATGAATTATATCTGTACATTCTTCAGTTTTGTTTGCAGAGCGAAGGAAACCGTTTCAGAGAAGAGAAACAAAGATTATAGTTCGTAGTTATTTTTTTTATTATTATTATTTCTTTAATTTTTTTTTATTTTTATGAATGTTCATTTTCATTTTGTTAAATGTTCATTTATATGTTAGTATAACGTCATTCACATTTTAATAGATGATAAATGTTAATTTACGTATTGATAAATGTTCATTTTCATTATATATAAATGTTAATTTACGTATTGATAAATGTTCATTTTCGTTCTTTTTCATGATCAACAAGTAAATGCATTAATTTTAAAATGAATATGTGCATATACGTATCATAAAAACAAGACGTTTCTGAGGTTCAGCCAACTTTATCAAAGAATGCCCCACAATACCCCTTACTTACTGGAAGAAAACTACTTTTATACCCTGGGATAAACAACTGTTATAAACTTGAATTTCCTCCATTTTTATACTACTAATTAAAGCACCCAATTATATCATGAATTAGTTATTTTAACAAATTTAATAAGGAATTTCAATAAAAGTGTGTGCTATGTCGTAATTTTCATGGAAATGATTCTTACAATTACAATAAGGAGTGTGTGCTACCTTCAAAAAATTTCAATAATAAGTACAAAATTATAATTTTTATACATTTTTCATCTATAATAATGCTCCTTAATTAAATGTTTAATTATAAATAATTGTATGTTCATTTACAACTATTAATAAAATATGTTCAGTTTTGAAATATTATATGTGCAAAATGACGTCACTTGGGGAGAGAGGGTGTAGGTAGCAGAAGCTACACCGGGGTGTAGTGTAAAATTTTCAATATTTAGTTGATCTTTAGACCCGGTTCGAAATTAGCCCGAAAAGCCGGCACGACCCGATCATTTTGGGCTGGTTTGGGTACAAAAGTTCCGGCCCGACCCAAGAAATGGGCTTAATTTTTTAGCTTCGGCCCGACCCATCCAATAATCACCTCTAACTCCGTTTTTAACTTTTGAATTGTGAATAAGTTCAAGAATACTTCTAACTTCCTAAGTATACCCAAAGTATCAAAAAAATCCTTCTTGTGTTACAACATTGTTGCCAAGTTAAGCTTGTACTCCCTCGTTTAGCTATTTTCCTTTATTCGCCTAAGATATATATAGGACCTGTTTGGCAATAGTAGCGGTAATGGGTTGCTTTTAGCGGTCGAGTAGCTAGCGGGTAACTGTTAAGGTAGTGAGTAGCGGTTAATTAGTAGTGGGTAGAGGTTAGCTGTCAAATTAACGGTTGATAGTATGAGTGTTTGGCAAAAGTAGCGGTTACAATATCAAAATTTATCAAAATTTATTTAAATATTGTTTTAAAAGTAATAAAAATCTGTCAAACGCTACCCGCTATTTTTAAACGCTGTTATTTTTAACGTTTGAAAAAAACTATCTAAACACTACCTCTATCGCTAACTGCTACTAAAATCGCTACCTTACCAAACACTCTCAGATATTTTCTAGTAGTGTTTTGACTGGTCAAAACGCTAATCGCTACCTCAAACGCTACCACCAAACAGGGCCATAGGCCACATAGCGCCCTTAGCTTGTCTTAACTGTGTTGTGATCGTGGGCATAAAGTGCTATTGTACCTAGCTAGAATTCAAGTACAATTATTTCTGTATAGTGATCGAATACACCCGATTATATGCAAGAAATCATACAAACTCGAGGAGTAGGGAAGTAATTAGTAATTACAGAGGAATTTTCATTTGCAACAAAGTCATGATTAGTTAGTACGTACATCACAGTCGCCGCCCAATACATGTTGGTGAGGCTTGCTAGCTTGCGTTCGTTGCATATCTATCATGATCAACTCCTTGCATTCGTTCCACCAATGCCTTAATCTATGCAACAACAAATATAAGACATTTTTTTTTTTTTTTGGCTACAAAAGAGCGAGCTAGGGGACTTACCAAAGTGTGAGCGATAATTAGTTCTCCAGTGAACTACCATTGAATGCATGCAACTAACTGTAAGTTCAACAGGATTATTGTTAGCAAAATTATCAAAGTTTCGCGTAGAAAACTATGTAAATACAACAAATGCATACTCTTTACCTTAGGATTTTTATTGTAATGACTAGTTTAAATATTGTGTGTTACATTTGTATGTCAACAAATTAAAGGGGGTATATATGAGAATAAAACTTTTATCATGCTGGTAAGTTAAATGACATAGTTGGACCAAATTTTCATTAACAAAAACTTAGTTGTGTTTATGGAAAAAACAGAAGATGATAACAAGATTTGGCTCGAAATTGCTAGCCTGAAAACTCACATAGAGCTGTCAAGAAGGTATAGCATGTTGTTTGATGTTGTTGGCTAGCTTCCTTTTTTCGATAAATCATTGTGTGGGTTATATTATTCTTGCATTTGGGACAACACAGATCAATTCCATCTCGTTCCAGGGTTTCCTTGAATGCTTTTGGGCTAAAATCTGCATGTTTGAAAGTTTTATCAGCAAGAGCATACTTCAGACCTTCGGTAATAATTAATTGTTCTATCATAAACCACTAGTCAACTTGTTAGTGTTCCTTTCTATCTTAAACATCATCTTACACTTAGATTATTAAGTGTATTTAGTAAATTCATAGGGAAAGTGGTTAAAAATTTTGGTGAATAAGGAAATTGAAAGAAAGTGGATATAGAGAGATGAGTGCAGAATTGTTAAGAAAATACAGTCATTGTGAAGAGAAAATGAGTTGTGACTGATAGAGATAAAAGTAGTACTCGTAGGAGAAAAGCTAGGTTTCACTTCAAAGGGGATGCAAATTTTATCTTATTAAGGTAAAAGATAAATTCGGGACATCCCAAAATAGTATAGTGAGTGATAAAATTTGGACGGAGTACTTGCATGTTAGAGTTTACTACCAAAATCCGAGGAAGACATGTGTATGCGTACCTTGTTCATCAGAAAAGCTTCCGACTCCCTTGTCTTGGACTTCAACACTAACATCTAAATCCAGGCATACATATATCAAAATTAGTACAATTTTTTTTTTTTTTTTTTTTTTGACGGGGAAAATTAGTACAATTTAAAGGACTAACAAAATTTCCCACAATTTAATTTGAATATACCTTGTTTTTTGTCATGTTCAATGTCCAAGACTTCATCTTTGGCACTATCATTCATATGATAGCAATCAGCACTTGCATCTTTAGTGGCATCGGCTTCGCTCTTGCTGTCTTCTACTAGCATATCTGCTACATACAGTACATACATACATCAATTTATTACTATAGATCAGCTAATGTGTTTTGTCTAGGTATCTTCACAACACATTTGCACAAGTCCAAACCTTGTTTACCGTCAGATATTTGAAGACCTTTGTCCTCGACTTCACCTTGGACACTATCATCCATATTATGGCTAATAATATTTACATCTTCAGTTCCATTGTCTTCGCTTTTGCTATCTTCTATGACACTCAAATCTACATATACATATATTTACTTTAATTAGTCTGGTCTACTTTTAAGGTGTTTATGAGAATCTTCAGAATATTCATACTTCCATACCCTGTTCTCTTTCCTGGACTTCATTTTTGACACTAGAATCCACAAAATTCTCAAGGGTATACTCATCTGTAGCTGCGTTATCGTCTTTTTTGCCATCTTCTGAACATAGACCTACATATATTTTATTTAGACTAGTTTTTAGAGGTTTATGAGAGTATTAACAATTGTACATGTTTGCTTGTTACCTTGCTCATTGTCGGTTTTTACATCTCCAATTCCCTCGATTTTATCTTCAACATTAACATCAATAACATCTTTACTTTCACTTTTGCTGTCATCTGAATACATATAGCAACATATATGATAATGCAAATCACTTAAGACAAGTTTTTAGAGGTTTATAAGAATCTTAGCAATTGTATATATTTGCTTATTACCTTGCTCATTGTCAGATAATTTTGCTTGTCCATCCCCCTCGATTTCATCTTCAACATTCGCATCCTTATTGCTTGTAAGATCAGCATCTTTGGCTCCTCCACTTTCACTTTTGCTACCATCTGAAGAAATACCAACATATATGTGAATTCTGCTTACATTGTTAGGGTGACTCCTAATTAAGAACTACTCAAAGACACCATTATTGTTTTTCTCTATCTATATATTAACACTAATTGCATTTACATAATTCCTTAAATCATGTAGTCCATGATAGAAAAAGAGCTTGTTCTTAGATTGAAATTGCTTGTATTCTGCATCATCAACTTTGCTACTGTATGCAATGCAGCTAATTTTGAGCTCAAATTAAATGACAGAACTATAGCACACCAAGTTTGTCATACTTACTCGTACTTTGTATAGAATCAAAATCTTCTGTATATGTTTGTTTATCCTCAGCTTCATTATTAACAAGAAGATTATCCAAATTAATAACAGCTGCAGGACTAGAATCTTCAGCTCCATCATCACCTATGCTTTTGCCGTCTTCTGATTGAAAACCTGTATTATATATGAACACGTCTTTCATCCAGGGTTTTACACACACTTTTCAATCCATAATTGACATCTTTACAAGAATCACAACACATTAGCATAATTGCAGTGATTTGAATACCTTGCTTATTGTCAGAGTTTCCCTGATCCTTGTCCTCAACTTCGTCTTTGACACTATCATCCACATAATCACTAACAATACTCACATCTTTCGTACCATTACCTTCGCTTCTGCTGTCTTCTACATCATCCAAACCTACATACACAATGTCTTCATCTTCAGCTCCTCCACTTTCGCTTTTGCTATCTTCTGAAAACATGCCCATATCATCTGTATAAGTTTGGGAATCCTGCTCATTGTTGAAATCTGCCTGTAATTCATCTTCTGCTTCATCATCAAAATCACTAACAGCAGCATGATTGGAAGCTTCAGCACCATCATCACCTCTGCTTTCGCCGTCTTCAGATGACAAATCTGCATATATGAACTAGTCTTTCATCCAAGGATCTACTCACAACATACTCTTTAATCCATTTTTTTATTAATCAATTTGGAAGATTGAATCTTGTCAGAACTTTACCAGTATATCATAAGGGTTTGTCTTTTAAGTCTAATGTAGCATTTTAATTCTACAATTATTTTGCCTTAGTGTTAAAACTATTAACTCACATCATTACATGAGCACCATTAGCTGATTGAACTAATGGTCAGGCTAATGTTAATCGGTTATCCTGCCATATTCTGAATAAGTGAAGAGCCCTTTAAATTTTGTTTGGAAAGTTGTGTTGATGTCTAACTCTGGTAAAATTACTAACCAAACTAGCAGAACAATACTAGAAAGTTTCAATCATGAATACCAACATATTAGAAAACATTGGTTCTGAAAGCCTTAGTGCCCTGGTCATATTCAATAAAGGAGATATGGCTACACATTTTTACCAAACACGTGTATACATATGGCTAATGTAACCACCTAGTCAAACCAGCTTATACAACACGCTAGTTTTTAACCACCAAACATGGCCCCAAAGAGAACTGAAAGAGTAAAAAACGTTTGAGCACAAAAGGTTAATTTTGAAAAATGATTGTATAAGATTTTAAGAATAGAGGAAATTCTGAACCGGGCCGGTCCGATCCAATTCCGGTCCGGTCCCGGTCGGTTTTCCTGTCCAGGTCCATTTTTGCACACCCCTAGTGGCGGGTGGGCAAGGGGTGGCCTTTGGACACATAACCGGAAATGACTATATATTCTATTCTTAAGCTGGTCAAAAAATTTACGCAATTCATACAATCAATTAATCAAACCAGCTACAATCAACTTACTATACTTAATCCCTAATTTCCAATGAAGCCAAAACCTACTAAAGGGGTGTTTAGTTCAATATAGTGGAATGGATTGGTATAGAATCTCATACTTGAGAGGTACAGATTCTAAAGCTCATACTAATCTAAAGTTGTTCAGTTTTAATGTTGAAATGGATTATACTTCATTAATTGAATGAATTGTGAGTTTGCGACTCTTAGGTCCAAATAATCCAACCAAACGACCTCTTGTACCCTCTTTCTTATTTTCTTGACAATATACACTGACTAGACATGGTTGTCAATACACAACTTTACGCTTTTATAAATATCGAGTTTATTATACGTGGAACATGTTTTCACTATCCCCTTGTGTGAACCAGTATCATGGCCCATGGTCCCCATGACCTTTAGGCTTTAATCTTTAGCTTGGTTGCCTAAAATATTCCTTTTTTCTCTCGTATTTACAATTCTACTCCAACCATGTGCACTAATCTCTCCCATCATTATCACCCCAACAGAACCATCTAGTATCTCAGTATTATTTAATCTTATGGATGGACTAGCATAATAAAAACAAATTAAATATCACCGCACATTAAAAAAATATTAAAATTAACATTTAAAATAAAAAAAATACTTCTAAAAATTAAATTCATTCATGTCTTTCTCACTCTTACCCGTTGACCTCCATGGATGCATTTCTCTTTCTTCCTCAACATTTGAACGTGTGAACTTACATTTTTTGTTGAATCAAATACTTTCTATAACAAATAGTCGAATTTTCTCTAGTTACTCGACCATTCAATTACTAGAGAATATAACATATTCATAAACACGTACCCTTTTAATTTTCTCTAGTTACTCAGACCATTCAATTACTAGAGAACATAGCATATTCACAAATACGTACCCTTTAAATTCTCTCTAGTTACTCGACCATTCAATTACTAAAAAAAAGTCTTATATTCCATAATAACAACATTTGAATTCTCCCTAGTTACTCAACCATCTAGTTATTAAAGAAGATTGTACATTTCCAAATAACATTAAAATTCTCTCTAGTTACTAGTTAATAAAGAAAATTGCTACTCGTAAAAACATTAAAGTCGTACGTACCTAGAGTTGCATCACTCAACTTGTGGTCAAGATCTCGATCGTATCGTCTTCTAACAAAAGTAGGTACATGTTTTAGAACTTTGTATTCGTACATTGGCAATGGACGAACATCTTTTCCAATATTCATTTTTTCCTTTTTTTTTTTGAAGAATGGAAAAATACGAAGTAGTGAAAAATATGAGGACAAATATAGTTGATGAAAACTAGCACTAAAAAAAAGAAGATTGAAAAATGTTGTTTTTAAGTCGGTAAAATTAAGTATGAACAAACTCGAGCCACGCACCCAACACCGCGTGATAGGAGGGACTAAATGCCATTTTTATATAGTACAATCGACATACTAGTATATAAATATAGAAGTATAATTTACATACTCATATAGGAAGTAAATGAAATTTTTTGTTGTTTTTTTATGTCAAGACATATTTATTTTTATCATCTTTGTACAAAATATAATTCTATTTTAAATTGTGTTATATACTTATAGATTCCAAGTTAATCTCCTCTCACAACTTTACGCATTTATGTTCGTGTCACTTTACTTTTTAACTTTTGTTATTTAAAAAATAAAAATAAAACAATATACTGTGAGAAGAGATTAATTTTTCATGTCAATCCCAGAGATTAACTTGAATTCTCTCATACTTATATGAGTAAAATAAAAATTATTTGGTTGACGGATTTCCCGTCTTGTATTGTTTCTCTTTTGAACAATGATTTCCCTATGAATGAAAGTTAGTAGCTTCTTCAAGCTTTTCTTCAAAAAAAAAAAAAAATTATTTAAAAAGATGCATTTAAATCGAATCTAACAAGAGATTGATAGTCGATTATTAGCCCTTACCCTTGTCCCTTGTTATTAAAGAGGGTCAGTCTTCGTGTCCTAGGCTCCTAGCTTCATATCTAGTTACTCGTATAGATCTAACAATTTTGATTTATACGAGTAACAAATATGGTTATAGATTATGTAGCCTCTTTGAGATATGTAACGAAGTCACATAAATTGTTCCGATAAGCAAATTCCCTTTTGTTTTGTACCAACTAATTAGGTTAAAATAAGTTGTTCCGATAGCAAATGCTCTTTTCTTTGTTTTGAGCAATCACGTCTTGAGAGAAAACGCACCTAATATTACTCGTTTTATTGGTGAAGTCTGACACTCTGACCTAAACCATTACCAGTAAAGGAGTGAATTATATCATCCTAACTTAAGGATGAATTGACGGGAGTCCAGTGGACAACAAGCCTTAAGAGGTTTCAAAGATTGCAACAATCATGTACAAATGTACAATCTTCACCACAAATTCAATCTGAATTGTGGAGCTATTTTTAGAAAAAAAAAAAATAATAAATAATAGTACATCCATGATTTAGATTATTTCCAAACATTTATGATGAAGGATAGGGAACGAGGAAGTATTAAAATAATAGAAAACTAGTCAATCAGAAGTATAAATAAAGTTGCACAAATTATAATAAATAGATTAGATACCAAATGAATTGCATAAAGTAATAAAACATTCCATTTAAGGACAAATATATATCCCTATAATTCTTTCAAGAAAAAGTAATTCAGCCAAAAAAAGCATAAAACTAATACAATGGTCACATCTCTGAACAAAACTTCGGCCTAAGTACACAAATTCTCTACTTGGGCTCACACTAAACCAGCATCATTACTAACTGTCCCAATAGTCACTTAAAATATCTAAAACACTTTAATACATCTGGCCGAAACTGATGTTCTCCATTTGCATAATATCCTAATCATCAAAGGTTGTCTTTTTTCCTGCATTCATCAGAATAAAAAAAAAATCAGATTAAACACTAACAGTTGCTAAATTAACGCAGAACACGATTCAGAAGGATTTATGTAAATGCTAGGAGAATTTTGTTTGCAATTTTTAAGCAATAACCGATTTTTTACTAATCATCCTCTTCTCACTCTTTCTATGACTTCATGGTTTGAAGAGTTACCTGAGGCAGATGCAGTAATGCTGAACCCACCACGACCACCACGTCCTCTACCACCACGACCACCACTATCTCTACCACCACGACCACCACCTCCAAACCTTCCTCCGCCACGTCTGTCACCAAACCTTCCACCACCACCATCTCTGCCACCTCTTCTCCCACCACCTCTTCCACCACTCCCAAATCCACCACCACTTCCAAATCCTCCACTCCCAAACTCACGGGGTTCTCTAGGCTTACCCTCTTGAACATTCAAGTAACAACCTCCAAGTTCAGATCCATTTAAGTCAAAAGCTTTGTTAAATGCATCGCTGTCTGCAAAATCAATATAAGCCACACTGCAGAGCACAAGAAAATACAGTTAGAAAGGAAACATGTTTGCCAGGAATGTAAAGAATGGTACAAAAAAAAGCAGGCAGCAACACATGAAACAAAATTGGATAAAAATAATCACCAGAAAATTTTAGCATGGAAAATAGTCTTAAACAGGACACAATCATGGAATAATATTCAATAACAAGTAACCTGGAAGTCAGCAATAAACCCATATGAAGATAACTATGCCTGGAGGTAACAGATATGCATGATAAGTTGATAAGAACTTGACATCCATGAAATATGTGGTAGAAACATACTATCACATTCTCATGTACTATATAAGCCTCACCAAGTGTATGCTGTGAAAAAAGGAGAATTGAGTAGTACTAAAGCAAATGCATCACAACCTCAACTCAGGTTATAATTCCAATCACCAACCCCCATAGTATTAAAAAAAAAAAAAATGGTCCAATGAAAGCAAAGAAGGGTGCAAGGATAGATGCCTAAGGCTGATAATTTGGTTCTTTGACAAAAGCAAAATACCACACACTAAGCACATATCAGAGAATGAGAAAGACAGGGTTGCCTTATAGTGAATAGAGTATAAAAATGATTCTCAATACGTATAACCAAAAGAACACTGGATGTCTTCAGTAACACAAAGCAGAAAAAAGATTCTTAGCGCATACCCCTTAAGACATTGATTTTCACGATCTTGTGGGATAGAACATCTTGTAATCTCTCCACACGAACCAAAGAGTTCTTTCAAGGAACCCCTCATCTGCAAGTGGACAGTAAAAACAATCAAAAACAGCTGACAGACAATAAGACGGAAACAAAAGGAGAACAATGATACCTCATCCTCATCAGCAGAGGTATCGAATCCCTTTACAAATATTGTAAGGTTCTGGCCTCCACCCTTCTGGAAAGAAGAGTTCTCTCTAACAAAACAAAAGAAATAAAAATTATTAATTAAAAACACATGTATATTAAAAGTAAAGATTAAGAATAAAAACAAACATAACAAAACATACCGTGTGCCGGGAGTGTATGCACCTCTCTCACGAGCTAAGTCAAGCCTCACTGGGCGACCTAATAATTCCTGGCCGTTCAATTCTAGAGCCTGGAAAAAATATATTGTTAGCAAAGTAAATGCAGCTTACTAGATTAATTTAGAGAGTTGAAAGTACCATACTACCACAGTGAGGAATATGCATAGCTATAACACCTTTAGAAATTGGTATAATAAAGTTTAACCAGAAAAAAGAATAACCAATCTTCTAATATACAAGTATAAAAAGTAAAGGATTACATCTAATATATTGCAATAAATTACATTTGTATTTATAGCAGATAACCAACAGCCAACAGCCAACAGAATAGCATAGTAGATATAATACAGAAAAGGCCATCATATAGCAACATAGAGTCGATTAACAGCAATCTTTTGGAGACTCACCTTTTGAGCAGCTTCTGCTGTTTCAAACTCAATGTGGCCATAACCCTTGAATCTACCTTCAGGTTCGGAGGCAAATCTAATATCTACAATCTCTCCTGCGCTCTTGAAAAAATCTCGCCTGTAAACAGCAATATGATGTAAGGAAAAATTAACTAAGCAATAACTAGTAATCTTGAAATAAAAGAAGAATACATACACATTCTGATCCTCAATATCAAATGAAAGATTTCCAGCAAACAGCGTCTTAGATCCTGTAGCTTGAACTTGTGGGGTTGCAGGTGTCTTAGGCTAAGAAAAGAAATTAACAATCAGGCCACAGTTACAACTACAGAAGGATTTAGCCCATTGCTGGATGATATTAGATAAAGAACAATGTACTTACTGTTTTCAAGGAAGACTTTGTTTCTTCAGCATCAACCATTTCTACATCAGTGTCCTGCAAACAAACAAAGCAATTTAAATGAGATAATTCGACCAATTAACACACTTTATTACAACAGACAAGAAATTTTCAAATGGCATACTAAATACAAAAACGGCAGTACGGGTTATACAATCACAATTGGCTAACTACAAAAAATCATGCAATAGAAACTATTATCATTTCCATGCCATTTCCCTTATCATCTTGTCATCACAGACAAACAATAGTGGATTCTTGTCATTTCAAGCTGTTGGGAGAGGTAGTGGAAGCAAGACCTAGATCATTACCTTCTTTGGGGTCTTCTGAGGCTTATCATCTTCACTCTCCTCGTCACTGTCTTCGTCACTCTCATCAGAATCTGAGCTTTCAGTTTTCTTGGATGCGACTGTCTGTTATACAGAAGCATATGAACACTATGAATACTACAATAATGATGGCTTTTTATTAAAAAGGCATTAAATATTGGTAGCAGCGCTTTACCTTCTGGGCAGGTTCATCATCAGAGCTCTCCTCCTCACTGCTACTACTATCTTTCTTAGCTTCTTTAGCCCCGTTCACAGCACTTGTAGCCTGCAAAAGTATATGTTAACTTAAGGTTCCAGTTGAAACAGGATCCAACACTAATACCAATGCTGAATCAGAGAACTAAAGAACAACCATCACAATACACATACCCTTGGGGGATCTTTAAAAAGCTTAAATTAACAATAATCATAAAACGAACACTACTGTGTATTTAGACTCTTCAAGCAGCAAGAATTAATTGACAATGCAATGTGAAAAAACTCCGTAAAATAGATAAATTGAGTACAATAGCCATCTATTTACAATCAATTATACCTTTTTAGCTTTAGGCTCATCGTCACTCTCTTCAGAGCTCTCATCAGAACTGTCATCAGAGCTCTCAGATTCTTTGGCTGGTGTTTTCACATTGCTAACAGTCTTGGCAGGACCTACTTTCTGCAGTAACATATTTTTAGTGAAATTGTGAGCGAGAATTGAACCTTTCCAACTTAATACAGTTTATAAATTCACAAGGCAAGCATCAAAAAATAAAAGTTCATTAGTACTCATACTAATTAAAATTATTATTGTATACCTTCTCATCCTCGGAATCACTCTCTTCATCTGAGTCATCATCACTGCTTTCCTCAGTTGATTCAGCAGGCTTAGCCTTAGAAAGAGAACCATTCTTTGCTGCGGGCACTGCTTTAGATTTGGCAGCAGATTTAACATCCTCCTTAAATGTTACAACCATAA